AGAAAAGCGAGCAAAACATTGGCTTGCATCCATAGATGCTTCTCAAGCAAATCCCAGGATGTCATTCTCCCACTGTACTCGGCCTTAGTGAGGCCGCAGCTGGAGTACTGTGTCCAGTTTTGGGCTCCACAATTCAAGAAGGATGTGGAGAAGCTTGAGAGAGTCCAGAGAAGAGCCGCATGCATGATCAGAGGTCAGGAAAACAGACCTTACAACAACAGGCTGAGAGCTATGGGACTCTTCAGCCTGGAAAAGTGCAGGCGCAGGGGCGATTTGATGGCCACCTATAAGTTTGTCGGGTGTACACTAGGATCTGGGGGAATGATTGTTCACCAGAGCGCCCCAAGGGATAACAAGGTGGAATGGTTATAAACTCCTGCAAGACCATTTCAGGCTGGACATAAGGAAGAATTTCTTCACTGTCCAAGCCCCCAAGGTCTGGAACAGCCTGCCATTGGAGGTGGTTCAAGCACCTACATTGAACACCTTCAAGAGAAATTTGGATGCTTATCGTGCTGGGATCCTATGACCCCAGCTGACTTCCTGTCCCTTGGTCAGGGGACTGGATTCAATGATCTTCCGAGGTCCCTAATGTCTATGAAATCTATTAAATTTATGATTTGGGAAAATAGGATTCCTTGTTTGAATACCCTTGGATGTCAAGAGTCTCAGTCTCTGTCTGTTTGGCTCCTAACCTGAGTGTGCATATATGCCCAGGAGTAGGAGAGAAGACTTTGAATCAGTGATATTTATTGGTATTATACATGCACCTTTCAAACCTTATGTTATCCCTGATGAAGGCATAGAATGTAGTGACTCTGACTGAGCTGCACCTCTACAATGCAGGCGAATTAAAATCTCTGTAGTTATAATTATCTGTCTTATGATGCAGTTAGGTCAATCATTTAAATGCTTTATTTTGTCTAGTGGGTGGCCATATCACTACAAAAGTGACATTTAGAAAGAGCTTTCAAAATTTCCTCAAAATAAAAAATGAAAAGGCAAATTTAAAATATGCCTCTGTGAATAGCTGAGCTCAGGTTAATGATCAAAGTGAATAATAGGGGGTTGGGGAAGGGAGAAATTGGGGTCAAACTGAAAGGGAAATCTTATGTTACTCTGGCACAACTGACCGAAGGAAACTATTTCACTTTTCATAATATCTCTTTTTTTTTTAGATGCTTGAAATTGAGGAATGTTGGAGATTTAAGAAATTTATGGAAAGTTGAAACAACTTCTTAAAGTGTCTGAACAAAACACTAGTTTTTAAAAAATGTTCTTTTCCCTGCAAAAACATTTTTGGGCTAAACTACTCATAAATTTGACCCAAATCTGTGAATAACTTTTGTCAGTTCAAAACCATACTCCCTCTTCTTTTCTTCCCCACTCTCTCTACCCTCATTCTCTAGAATTATACATACTAGTGCAAAATAGTGATTCAGAACAGAGGCAGTCTATTCCTAATATCAGAAACCTGTAGATTTATGTAAGCAGAGACCATGCTACCAAAAGAAGACTGCCTCTTTTGACTGTTATTACAAGCCTGGGCCTAGCCAGAAGTAACAATGAATATGTTATCATGGTCAAGGGCTAGGGACTAATTTGCAAGGATTTTTATCCGTACTTCTTTTGGTACATGTTTGTGGAGTTCATATTTGTTTATTTCTCCCACTGCTCTCCCCGATCCCCTTTTCTATGGATACTTACATTGTGATCATGATGGACCTATGGGTACTCCAATTAATCTGAAACAATTGCCTCCATTCCAATCCAGTTCCTATATTCTCCACATACTCTAAACCTGTCTCTAAGGGAACATTTACACAAGAATTTGCCACAGCAAGAATTGGGTTCAATACTTCAGTGAGGTGTGATAAAGCTGGTGTCTTCAAGTTTCTATTTTTCAGACTTCCTAATCCCCCGAAAGAGGCAATGGTAGCCTATTCTATGTCGAAGGTTCTTACATTGCATCAAATTCCTTATGGTGAAGTTCTTTTCTATTGTGAATTTCCAAAGTCCTAGAGATGATTTGTTCATATCCCTCAACATTATATGATGTTTCCATATGTTTATCCACCCAGCTCCTGGAAATCTATGATGTGATAGCACATTGCAACATTGAATGAGAGTGCTCCCTCTG